CCGCCGACCGCGGCAAAAAAAAAGTTGTTTAGATCACGTGATTTCTCTCCGCCAATCGTATTCGTCCCTCCGAGCGTTCCCTAGATCGCTCTGTTTGTCCCTAGATTCCCTACGCAAATCCAGCGTTTAGCTACGGGCGCGTCTGTAAACCCGAGTTTACGTTGGTGCAGCAGGGATTTAAACCCGTGCTTATCCGAGCTCGGTTTAGGGCGCTAAGCCGGCTTAGGAAAAGGCCGCTTTGGGTTAAGGTAAGCGACGTTGGTGCAACCGGCCCTAAGTAACTTTAATTTTAAAGTGCCTTAAAATACGCTCAAGACAGTTAAAATGGTAATATTTATGAATTTTATTAAAATCTTCGGAGGTCTCAAAGGAAATTTCAAGGGTAGTACGACCTTCATTACGTCTTGATATTGAATCTCAAACAGGTTCTCTGGTGCACTCCTGAAACTCTTGTTTGTGTAGCGAAATTTCCCTTGAGTGACAAGCGGGTAAATCCCCCTAAAAAAATAAAGAAATAAAAGAAACGGGAATTTGATTTGGCATTGTATTTGAGGGAAAACACATAAATCGTCTTGATTTGACCCTCAGGATCACGAATATCGAGATTGGTTTGCATTTTGGGAGCACGGAGGCTACAGAAATTAATTTTTGAAGTACCGCTATAGCCCCTCCTTCCGGGGGTTCGACGTCATACTATGAGTTTTCCGAATGCCTGCTTTCGCGCATCTTCAGCGCCGGTCAAAGCTTAGCCCGAACACCCTTGATATTTTCAAAAAAGGTCCGAAATAACGTTACGACTGGCGTCAGTGCGGGAAAATATACATGGCAGGCTTGCAATTGCACGCGCTGCCCACACGAGCGACACGCGCTTGGCGGTCCAAAGATCCTAGCATGACGTCACCAGTGGTCGGAGGTTCTTCGCGTTTTCTCGTGTTTAGTTACATCTTCGGGGAAAACTAACGTTATATTGAGATTCACTAGATAAAAATAAACCGAAATTCGCCCCTAACTCTTTTTTTTTTTTTTTTTAAGAAGTGTTTCATATTTTCTTTACGTTTGTCATAACTTATGAAATAAGCGTCGAACTGATTAAACGGTTCACCCAAAAGCCCTGAGGTGGCCAGGTGAACGTTATTACTACTTCTTCGCAAACAAGTAGCAATCCTATCTAATGTCGCAAAAATACAATGCTGCAATAAGGCAACTAAATATACGGGACAACGCATATGATATGACTAAAGGCATCTTGGCTTCCCTAAAATATTCAGTTGCTCTGGGCGTTTCTTTTCAGCGGGGTGACCCGTATGAAAGAGGAAGCACTGGGCACAGGCACAGAAACCCCGACATAACTCAAGGTTGAGGAGAACGCAACCATACTAAATAAAGGGAGCTGATCAAGTCACGGCCCGCTGTAATCGGGCTGGCCATGTTTCGTCTCTTTGGATCATTTTTTATTCGATGAATGTAGATATTAACCGCTCTAAAATGCAGCCGGTTACTAATTCTAATGAAATAGGCGCGGATCCAGCGTTCGCTTTAGCGCATCTGCGCGCCTTTTTCCAACCAGCCGCTCACTCGAGGAAAAGCGGGGCTATGAAGGAGTCCCCAACGAGGCGCCTCGGTTGAACTTCGAGGCTGCAGATCAGGGATCTGTTGGTCCAAAGGTTACCTTGGGACAACCTACGAAAAAAGCTGGAAGCCGAAAATAAATTCAGCAGTCCTGTGTTTTCCACGGTGCTGTCAGAACGACAGCTGCGACACGTCACGGCGGTGTTGTTGGGCATCGGCGTCGCGTTCAGGTACCGTTGGATGCGGGATCGAAAGCGGTTGGAACAATAACTCTATGGTTGGAACATAAATAATCCTTTAACCATTTTGTTCCAAACGCTTTTTTTTTTTTTTTCTTCTTCTTTTTTGAGCACGTGAAAGTGCGTTGACCGGCACGAGCTCTTGGTTTTGACAGTGCCACAACGCCGTTGTTAATGTTTTTTCTTTGTTTCCAGTGGGAATCGAATACTACAAAAACCCCAAGTATAAAGCGGCCTGTTAACGCTGTTGCGTAACTCAAGTATTACTGAGGAAGAAAACAGGCGGCTGCGGCGTAGTTCAGAGGTGCACGCTTTTGCTTCGCACGCAGGAGGCCCAGGGGTGCTATGTTGCGCTTTTTGCACTCCCAGGAGGCTTGGAAGAGGGAAGTGACGTCAACGACTAGAGCAAATGCAGATTGGGTGTTGACAGAAGAAAACAAAATCAACATCCAATCTGCATTTGCTGCGTTGTTGACGTCACTTCCTTCTCCCTAGTCTCCTGGGAGTGCAAAAAGCGCAACATAGCCCCCCAGGTTCGATACCGCGTAACTGTGGGCGCTCTTTTTAAAGGGTAACTGCAAAGAAAAAAAAGTTTTTTTTAAACAACCTAATTGGGACAAGCATGTCACAAAACAAATGTTCCGCGAAAAAAATGATTTTTTTTATCAATATTTACGCCACAGGATGTAATTTAGTAGAGTCAGAACCTCTCCACATTTGAAACTCCCGCTCTTTCGACCCCCGCGGAAGAGGAGTACGCCCCGCCCCTCACTCTCCTTGCGTTGCGGAGTTGAACGACGCAGCGTCTCGACTTCCGGCAACATCTGGCAACTACGCCAGGCTGGTTTGACGCGGTTTGCGAGCACATGTCGCGAAGACGTGACCGGAGAAGTGTCCCTGTGATGTTCCCGGAAGGCGGAAAGTATCGTTCGTAATCGTCGTGCGCGCTTTGAAAGCGAAGGAAGTCACAGAATCCACGAGTGCGCCACCACAAGCCAAGGTTCACGACAGCGCTGCGTTGGTTTCGGCGATCTCGTTCTGTTTGGTGCAACACGGCGATGCGACAGAGCTGAAACGTTCGTGGTGTGTGTAATGCGGTGCTAACACGGAGCGCAAATTGGTTGTTGTGGGGTTGACGTTCAACCAGTTAAGTCCCGTCGTCGTCAGCTGATCCAGTCAAACTGGTCCGGGAGTACGCTGGGAGCGTTTTTAAAAGTAAATCTGCCTCGTTCTGTTTCAAAATGTGGAAGTTTCCCGACGAAAAGCTGCGGGCGTTTTCAACAAAATTACGTCGTTTTAATTGAACAATGGACTCCGAATCGTTGTCCTAAATCTGCCGTTTTTTATGCTTCGTGTTGGACTGCGTTTGCACAGCGACGTGTTGCATCGTGCGGTGTGAATAAATTTGGGCACGATGTCGTACCTGCCTACAGATGCATGAACTGAAACCACTTTTACGTAGTGGACGTAGTGCTTTTTTTATTTTCTGTCGAGTCGCGAACGTTAGGTGCACACGGGGCGAATCTCGACGGCCTCCAGAGCGATATGACGAGAACGTAACTAGACACGTTGGTCGCTACGCGAACGCCCGATTGCCTCCAGCCAAATAGCATTCCTTTCGGGGCGACATGGCTGCTGGAAGGCTCACTGTTGGGATCACGCATCTGACATCTCTGAAAAGTCAGCATTTGCACGCGCAAACAAGCAAAACAACAACAAAAAAAGAAAAAAAAAAGCACGCTAAGCAAGCAAAGAGGAAAACGAAAGAACCGCGCTATGAAAGCCAAACAGCCGCGTCGCTTCCTATCACTAACACCTGCGACAGCTGCTAAACACACACTACTTCACTTGAAGAAGTCTCAGTCAAGCACCTGGGTCAGCACGAAACGACGAAACACTGATCACTTCGGCGAAACGATTAGTCGAGGTAGGCGAGACAGGCGGGAGCAGAGACTTCGGCGGCCATGAAAGAATGGCGAAGCTTGTTTGTATGAATCCAAACGGAAGTGCCCGTCTTGTAAACCTTTTGTAAAGAATAATAACTCTCATCACATGGGTTATTCTTTAAACGTAAAAATATGCCGCTCAAAAGGAAATTGCAAGGTTTAACAACCAAGATCTAAGCTGTCAATCAAACTCTTAGCCAATGAGAACCTTTTGGGATTGACGTCACATAATCACAACTTCGTGGCGCGCGATTTAAAACGGACGAAATAGCCGCAAACTAAAACGAGTCTCACGCAATAGATATTGCTGTAAAAAATGTTTTTTTCTCGCGGAGAAATTGTTTTTTGACATGCTTGTCCCAATTAGGCTATTTAAAAAAAACTTTTTTTTCTTTGCAGTTACCCTTTAAGGATTTGACAACATCGGCGACGGACGCCCGATAACGCCAACTACAACAACGCTGAGAAGAGCCCATCACAGCTTTCTCTGTAAAAGGTACGAGGCCGAGGCCGCTTCAAAGTGATCATTCGGCGCTCTAACAGCGAGTCGTTCGGGGCGCCATCGGCTAAGTGCAATTTTCACCACTTCACACACTGGTGATACCTTGCGTTATTTATATTTGTAGCCTTGAACCTACGGGGACGACCTTGGTTCGAAGTTTGTTGAACTTTTGTTCAGAAGTGCGATATTCCCCAAACTTTTGAATCCAACAAGGTCGAAAGGTCGGTAATCGTCGAATTCCTTAACGCGATAAATTGGGAAGGTCGAAAATGTCGAATTTTATAGCGCGAAAAAGTCGTAAGTTCGAAGACAATCGAATTTCTCAGCACAAGAAATTCGGAAGTTTGATCATCGCCATTCGTAAAGTTTGACATTTCAAACTTTGCGAAAATTTCGAACCTGAGGTTCGCAAGAACTTCGCGGCATCTCTAATCTAAATCAACGCCTTCTGTACTTAGTACGAAAGGCATTGTCTAAACTGATAGGAAAGGGTCTTGCAGTGGTGATATCATGCTCTCCCAGCAGTTTCAATCAGTGATGGCTGCAGTGAAACACGTCAGAGTAAAAACGACGGACGCGAAACTCAAGTGCACTGTTGTCTAAAGATAAAGTTCCAGAGGGTGACCAGAAGAGATAAGTAAAAAAAGAGCATGAAAGAAAGAAACGCAAAAAGACAAGGAGAGAAAAGGAACGAAAGAGGAAAGAAGGAGAGAAAGCGCTTTAAATGCACAGAGCAGATGTCGAACCAGTGAACACGGTCTTCCTGAGAGCCGGGTGAAGGACATAAAGATCACACGCACGCCTGGCCGTCATGACGACCGATCCATCTATAGCGGGGCGCAGAGACCTTGGACATCGTGGGCAGTGACAATGTCGCGTCCGGACGGCCGCCCTAAGAATGTGCACGCCCTTCAGTGTCCGAAGAATATCCTGTACGCCTTCGTCATCAGCCGTCACGCTCAACGAACGCCGGTCACCGATTGCACGGCACTGCTTAAGTCCAACCCCGAACAACGCGGCCAGCTAACGTCCAAGGGCCACGAACAGGCCTTCCGCTTGGGACAGTTCCTGCGAGCCCGCTACGCAACCCTTCTGTCGGCAGACAAGCCGGGCCAAGTGCTCGCTACCCATAACTACCTGGACCGCTGCCGTGACAGCGTCGAAGAGATAATCCGGGGGCTAGGTGTGCAAGCCACGCCAGTCTTGGACTCGACCAGTTACTACGTACACTTCGAGGAAAGCCTTCGTGACAACTTCGACGCCGTTGTACGGCATCCGGCTAAAGGCGGCTTCGAGACCTTGGGCGACATGCTCGAGTTCGTTGCGAACAAGGCTGGCGCGCAAACTGAGGACAGATCCAAGCGTTTCTTAGCTATGGACAGCTTGATCACCAACACGCTCAACGGGAACCCGATGCCAAGCTGGGCTGTGCCACACTGGGACGACTTCCTGTGGGCGGAGCGCAAGATGTTTGGTATGGTGCTTTCGGGCCACGAGCTTAGCATGGCTAGAACGGTGCTCACGCGCATCCTGGACACCTTCTCGCTCAAGTTTGAGGCCGGCATCGACCGACCCGACAAGCTACACGTCTTCTCACTCTCGGACACCAGCTTGTTTTCGGTGTTGAAGCTGTTCAACCAGTCGTATGACGACCGGCCCTGCTTTTGTGCCAGCGTGTTCTTCGAGGTGTTCTGCGAAGGTGGAGGGAAACCCGTGGTGCAGGTTCTCTTCGCGACCGAGGAGAACCCGCACTTGGTTCTGTTGGACAAACTCGAGAATCCGGCGCCCCTGCCAGAGTTCATGAGCTTCGTCCGCTCGGTTCTGGTGTCCAACCCGATATGACCTTGCACAAAGACGGACCGTGGAACCTTCTCGTTCGGGTTCAGGTGTTCTCATACCTTGTACTGGACACTGTAGGCTACACCGAAGGGTACACCGGCGCTACCAGGCCTAAAAAAAAAAACAATAAATGCTGCGTCCCTTACTGTGACAGGCCTAGATTTCTCTGGTTGGGTAGAGTTCAAGTTGGTTAGAGTTTGGAGTATTTCCTAAGTGTATGCATCATCTGGCCGGAGTCTGCGATATAATCTTTACATAGTAGCGGCGTGTTGCATATAATGAACTGACTCCCACGATTCATTGGAAAGAAAATAAAACAGTATCACCAATGATCTAAACATATAAAACAGTAAAGGGAAGGAACGTAGAATTTATTTTCGTATTTACATTTTTTCAGGGGTCGATATTACACCCCGTTGTCATTTTTTTGTCAATTTATGTTGTTGAATTTTTAGACAGAAATTATCTCGCACCCACCGGTATGCCTATAAAGATGCACAACACGAATCACAAATGCAGGACTAAGCTTCTTGCGTAGTTTCCTGACGCCCTTATCAGATTAAACTAAGGCACTCAAACTAAGGTGCCTAATAAAAACAAATCTTGAAACAGCAAAATATAACGAAGAAAACAGTTTCGCTAAAATGTGGACTGAAAGAACACCGAAAATAGTGTGCGCTATATGGAGTCTACTAAATCGAGAGAGCCGTAAGTAAACAAAAGTGGTCTTGCATTCCTAAACTTTCTGGATCACTCTTCTTACAGCCGACATAATAAATCTCGCTACTATGATAAGTTTTTATTGCTATTAAAAATAGTTTTATTATAGGAAAATATCCCTCTATTCCTTGATTCTCTCTCATACAGACATCTTTAGACACGACCGTCTTCGACAGAATTCTTAGTGTAAGTTATTAGCGCTATTCTGGTGTATGTATCAGAAACCTTATCAAGCTAGCTTGCCAAATGCGTGCACCAGTCAAGACATTCATGCCTTTGTCTTAAAACGAAGTGCCAAAAAATAAAAATAAATAAACAACTGGAGCCTGCTTTCCCTTCCTAAGATCATAGCCTCTTTAGGTCCTTAAAGGGGTACTCCACCGATTTTTTGAGCTACCTCAACTAACTATATTTTCTGACTCCCTGGCCTTTACTTTCTCCGGTATGCTATTCAGAATCGCGAAATTCAGAATAGTTATGGCGAAATCGGCAAATGAAAATGATGCAAAAACCAACATTCAAATATACGCGCGCTTTTCAGGGCCGTGACGTCAGTGGCAGGCAGGCTTGCCAGTCGAGCAAGCAGCCAAAAAATAGAATATGTCGATCATTTGCTCCGTGCTGGAGCGCGGGTACTGCAGCGAGCTTCCCAAGCATTCATTTGACACCATGAAACTGCTTCGAATCAGTTTAAAACAAAATCTACAGCCCAAAGAGTGAACCCCTGCCTTCCACTGACGTCACTTTTTCACTGTTGCCAGTAGAGACTTCGAGCTTGAAAAACACGGTGAGGACCAAAACTGTAAATTCAATAACTTCGCGAAAAAACAATATTTTGACCTAATATTTGGGATACTATTTTCGCGATGTTTGTTGGTTAGTTTAGCAAAATTTCAAGCAAATCGGAGACAATGAAAAAATCGGTGGAGTAGCCCTTTAAAGCGGCCATGAAACGAATTTCGGGCTTGGATAAACGGTTTTAAATTGTGACTTTACTAATCGCATATCGTTTAGTTGGCCAAAAGAAAGAGGGTAGAAAGTAAACAGCCAGCTTTTCGGTACGAACATTTGAAAATATAGTGGACTATTTTGTACCTTCTTTTCTTCGAAAGCTCTCCGCCTTTTCACTATGATACATCCGCGGATCCCAAAGCGCGTCAGCGGTGCCAAACTGACGTCAGCCGACCCAGCTCACGCATTGGGCACGGGAACTCAACTCGTCAATAATAAATCCGTCAACGAATATTCAGATTCGCGTTCGTGGCCAATGAGTGCCCTGACTGAACTTTTCGTCAGTGGGGAATGACAAGTTCTATGGTGTGCATGAAAAGCACAGTGGAAGCTAGGGGTCATTGCACAGGTGCCGAAGAATGTCGCAACGACGTGATTTCACAATTCGCATTTTAGTTGAGGATTAAAGCTACGGAGGAAGAAGTAGAAAAATCGGGTCATGACCCCGAGATTAAAACGCGGGTATAACGAGATGAAAACGCGATCGCTTTCGCACATCGCAAAGCCTGACGTTTTCGTCGTGGAATGCGCGTGCCGGGGAGAAATCCGCGGGATTTCTCCCTCGTGTGAATACCCCTTTAAGGTGTATCCACACGACGGACCGGGCCGCGGACCGATTGATCACGTGATGAGCGGCCCGCGCGCGCGGGCCGCCTGGCTGCAATGAGCATCTACACGGCGGACCGAAAAAGCAGACGACAGAGCGAACGGGCCCTCGACCTCACAACTCCGCCAAACGCATGCAGCGAGCTGCTTTGAGGCTATTTGTAAGGAGCCAAGATGGAGGTTGAACGAAAAAGACGTTTGGCTGAGGTGGTCCTGGCGTTGACTATTGAGGACGAGGAGGACTTAAGTGAGCCGAAAAAGCCATGGGGACATCTTTCGATGATTATTTGAGTAGTCGTCGCGACTATTGTCCCACAGAGCGGGGAATTGCTCCATAAGCGCGATGAAGTGAAAAGTTGCATCGTCGCACAACAAAAGGTTCGTTTCTTCGTCTTCAACAGTTGGCGCCAAAAGAGAACGACTTTGGCTTTGGATTCCAATCCAAACAACAAATGTCAGCTTGTTGCCAGACTTAGCGCTTCAATTATACTAAAAACGCCGCGGTCCGCCGCCAAGGTCCAGGCGAGAAAGTCGCTTTGGCATTTCTCAGAAGCCCGGGCCGCGGACCGCCGGCGGACCTCAAAGAACGGTGAGGAAAGATCACGTGATGCGCGGCCCGCGGACCAAAACAGCAATTTGGCCCGTCGTGTGAATACACCTTTGAGGGAGATTGACACGCGATTTATTTGTAGCCTTTTCCTCATAGATGGCGCGGAAAGTTTCCGGAACAAACGAGTTGCGTGTTCGCAGCTGCGCATGCAGGTCGGGCGCTCGGGGTGGGCTTGTGTCACGGGCTGCTCGCCACCGACCTCGAGCTAGATCTTCTTCTCCCTGCGTCCGCCGCTGCCGGAAGCGGCCGACGGGCGGCGCGAAATACGAGCCAGTCAAGACGTAGATTATGGTGGCTTACATAACGTAGAGCAAGCTCTGATTTCCGACTGAATTCGAAATTCCCGCCATGTTCGAAATTATCGAAAGTACAGGGTGCCGCGGTGCGGCTGTACGGATCAGCGCATTTAGCACGCCTCTTAAAATTCTAATTTTACGTACCTGAAACTAAGCACGCTAGCGTCGTTTTGCAAAATAAAAAAGAAATGTACGTCTATTTTTAAGACCTTAAATGAAAGCTAATGAAATTTAAAAAAAAAAAAAGAACTAAAACGGCAGTTTTGCATTTCCCATGTTTTGCATCGGCCTGCTCTTCGCCCGCATACTGGTTTGCAAACTCGCTCCAGGGGGTGTGGGGAACAAAAGAACACCCAGAACGCCATAGGAGAGGTTGGCAACGAGAAAAATAACCGCGATAAATAATGATTTTAATGAATGTATGAACGATGATGGGAGTTTCAGTTCACATTTCACAACAGAACGAAAAAACTTTTTTGTATGATACAAAAAAAATCTAAAGCCGACGAATGTTTGTTTTATTATTGCAGTCTGCTATCCGTTCACATATCTTTGCTGGGCACGGAAGTCGCGTAGGGAAGACCTAGAAATGATACACAAGTAGAAACAGTCCCCCCCCCCCCCCCCCCCCCCCCAGAAAAAATAGAAAAGAAAGTACATGTGTGTGTGTTTTTCCCCACAAAATCAACTATGCATCGCCGAATGCTGATTCTTCATCCAAATATAACGCTAGAGGTCGGAACCAGATGCCAAAGTTTCAGCACTGACCCTTCTCCCATTAAAACGTTATGAGTGATATTCTGAAATTTTTATTGGGGAAATGGCGGCAGACCGACCTCTTGAATACATGGAGCTCTATGGGCGCCAGTCACCCAAGACGGGTGAGAATCGGCGCCCTGTTCCCATTGAATGTTTCAGAATATCTGTTATATCCTTTGCATAAGATAGCGGTTAGTGTTGAAACCTTAGCACCTGGCTCACACCTCTAGCGCTACAATTGGGCAAAACATAAACGTATAACAATGCTTTTTTTTTTCTTCCTGTTTAAAAAAACGTGTTCTTCTTTGTTGTTGTTGTTGTTGCTTTGTTTTGTTTTTATTGGGGGGGAGGGGGGGGGGGGGGGGGGGAAGGGGGGACGCTTTAATTTTCGGGAAAAGAGAACCACGTTTTTTCGGCCAGGGAAAATAAGCAATGCAGAAAGCTCGAACACCTTGAGAGCGTGATAGTAGTTGGGAAACAACGCCGAAGTTTAAGAACATGACGTTACTTGGATCAAAAGACAACGGACCTTTCCCACATTCCGATGGCACCAGGTGGTGGCTACATGAACTGAAAATCGAAGAAGTGACCTTCCTGCGCTACCATTCGATAATGGGAGCTACGCTACCAGTTTATTCGCTCTGAGCTGCGGCACGTGCCCAACGCGACCTTAAAGAGGGGCATCTGTGGCGTCCACCCAAACGTCGCGTTTTTCTTTCCGCCGGTCTATTTTCATTTTTTTTTTTTTTGTGTGTGTGTAGCGCAATCATATATATGCTGCATGTTGATTGTCACCTTTTACGTCGAAGTCGTTCTTTGGTGCTCCGACTGTAGTCAAAACGTTCAACTCTTCAGTTTCTTTCATCATCATAGTTACTTTGTCCGCCGTCTATAGTTCGCTTAATTTGTAACACACTCCCGCCCCACGGAAAGAGCAAAGCTTGGCACTTTTCAGTTGGCAAGTTCCATATGGTACAACAGTTGGACGGGACGTCTCAGGGTTGCTCCGTTGGGCTTTCGCACCAAGCACGAACGCACTTGGTTGCCTCTGTCTGTCTGAACCCTTTCAATCCTTTCCATCCTCCACATGAGCCGTGTTGTCTTGCTCCGGTCTCGATCTTTGTTTCGGTCACGGTCTCTGCTTCA